TGCAGGGCTTCACACTTAACTAGGCTGGTACTCTACTACTTGAGCCACATCTTCAGCTTTACTTTTTGCTGGTTATTCTATAGATTTTTCAGGGGCTTTTCTGCCTGGGCTGACTTCAGACTGTGACCCTTCAGAATCCAGATCCCTGAGTAGCTAGGATTGCATGCAGGAGACACTAATACGGGCTGGGAAGGTGGCTCAGTGGTAGAGCGCTTGCTTTGCATGCTCAAGGCCCTGGGTTCGATTCCTCAGCACCACATAAGCAAAAAGAAAAAAGCCGGAAGTGGCGCTGTGGCTCAAGTGGTAGAGCGCTAGCCTTGAGCTGAAGACCTGAGGGACAGCGTCCAGGCCCAGAGTTCAGGCCCCACGACTGGACCCAAAAAAAAAAAAAGAGGAGACACTAATACTAGGCTTGTTTGGATTTTTTTTTTTTTTTTTTGCGGGAGGGGTTCTGGTCCTGAACACAAGGCCTGGGCACTATTTCTAAGCTTCTTTTGCTCAAGGGTAGAGTGCTACCACCTGAGCCACAGCATTATCCATCGATCTCAGCCTCCTGATTAGGTAGGATTTACAAGCATGAGCCACTGGTACCTGGCTTTGGATTTTTGACCAAACAAATCCATACCTATGTGTACTACTGCTCTGTGACACGAAGCTTCTGACGGGGACCTGTTCTTCCTCTTCCCTTTTGACTTTGGTGTGTCCTACAGCTGTGATCTCAGCCTAGAGGAAAAAGAGTGGAAAGCTTTACAAGGCCTTTCTTGACTGCCACATGCAGCCTCTTGGGATTCCCACAGCCTGCCTCACTTGTTTTTTTGTGGGCATTTTCTTTACCCTATGCCAGAGTTTCCAAGGTAATAAGGCCAGTTGGTAATGAGAGAATGAATCTCAAGGTTGGAAGCCTCTACTTGTATTTATTTTTTATTTTTAAGAAGGATTGGTCCAGGTGCTGGTAGATCACGTTCCTATAATCCTAGCTACTGGGGAGGCTGAGATATGAGGATCATGGTTCAAACCCAGCCTAGATAGGAATATCTGTGAGATTCTTAGCTCTAATTAAGCATCAAAAAAGCTGAAAGTGGGAACTGTAGCTTAAATGGTAGAGGGCTAGCCTTGAGCACAAAAGCCGTGAGTTCGAGCCCCAGGACCAGCACAAAAACAAAAAGCAAAAAAGATCATTCAAATTGTGTAGGGCAGTGGGCTAGTGCAGTCATGTCACAGGTGTCTGAAGTTAAGGAATAATTATTGAATACCTTTGTTCTTCCTCATAGCCAGGCATGGGGATTAGGTTCAACGTGAAGAGATAAATGGGCTTTTTGTGGACGGCTCCAGAGCTTAACCTCTCTTCATAGCATTGTTTCTTTGGAGACATGATTTCCAAGTTCTAAATAGCTGCCTTCCTAATGAACTGTGGAATGCCTTAGGGGACTATCTATACTGCCTCTTGTAGTCTCCGGTATTTATTCTGTTTTATACAGGATGACTTATCTCTGCAAAAGATTTAGCTCCTTAAATGTAGAGGCTATTTCTTATACATTTGCTGACAGCATTTCCCCTCCCCCAGCACTGGGAATGGCCTGATTTCAGATAGTGTTTTGAACCTGTTATCTTATTTTAAAAATGAATGGCATGCTTACTGTAGAAATAGGAGACTGAGAAGCCTAAAGAGGATAGAAGCACCCCCACCCTCCCAGCCTCAGCTCAGGTCCCCCGGGTTTACATGTGGTATACTTGCAACCTTCCTCTTGTCCTTGCGTGTGTACGATACTCGTTTTCAGAAAAACTGGGAGCTTATTTTGAGAGTATTGCGCTCCTTGTCTCTCCAGCCAGTTCATTGTCTTCTGGAAGACACAGGTGAAAGCAGAGCCCATCGATGGTTCTGATGGAGATAGTGTGCTGCTCTGCTCAGCTTTTGTGCTTGGTCAGCTGAGATAACTAGGGCCTGGAGAAGCACTGTCTTCTTCATCTCAAGGAGGAGGAGAAATCTTGCTGCAGATTCTCTTACCTGACTCGTCTGGTTTCTCAGAGCACCGCTGAGAGCCTTTAGCCTTGCTGGGCCTGGAGATAGATGTAGGGAACAAAACCCTTAAGTCAGTTTCTTCACTTTGTACTGATTTGGCTCTGAGTAATTATCCCTTCTTCTGTTAAACAAAGAAGACAGATTAAATTTCTAACAGTGAGGCACAAGCCCAATCCATTTACAGAATTAGGCTTACATTAGCACATAGGAGTGCAAATCTGCCTCCCTGGGGACAGATCTCTTTGCAATTTCACTCAGCATTCTTGGAGTAAGTCCAGTGGACTTTGGGAAAATTTAGTATTCGCTGACCTTAAATTAACAAAGTAACATGACCCCTTTGTGTGTTTTCTATCTGCCCACAGTTTAGGGTTGTGGTTCTCAATTTTAATGTGGATTTTAATGTGTGAGAGGAGCCCTTGAGGCAGAGATGCTAAAGACCTGCCTTGGGGTTGGACATTTAAGAAGTCCAAGGACTTGGGTCACCAAGAAAGGGTAGAGAACTAGACTTTGAGCTAGTGTCAAAGCATTTATCTCAGTGATATATCCCTTTCTTAGTGTGGTTACACTGTATCTGCTGACAGATAAAGAAGGTCAGATGTGTTTGGCTTGGTGGCTGAGATGGTGAGGTGCCAGGCCTGGGTTTTGGCCTGTGCTGCACCCTAGGGATGGATAATAGAAGTCAGGCAGGCAGGCAGAGAGGTAGGCAGGTACACGTGCAGGTAGGCAGGTAGGTACACGTGGGTGTGCACACACAAGCACAGAGTTGAGCTGAGCTGGAGGCACTGGCCACCGCGAGGAGGATGGGGAATAGCCAGTTACCAGAAGGGTGACTTTTCTTCCTCAGAGTAAACCATAGCTGATGTCTTGTGGATTGCAAGTCATATCAAGTCTAGAACACAGTTCAGTGCATCCTAGGAGGGACCTTCTGTGTTTTGTTTTGTTTTGTTTTTGCCAGTCCTGGGCTTGAACTCAGGGCCTAGACACTGTCCTTGAGCTTCTTTTGCCTAAGGCTAGCACTCGACCACTCGAGCCACATCACCACTTTGGGCTTTTTCTGTGTATGTGGTGCTAAGGAATCAAACCCAGGGCTTCATGCATGCTAGGTGAGCACTCTACCACTGAGCCACCTTCCCAGCCTGCGAGGGGCCTTATGAAGAAAGTTGATCCTGGTGAGTGCCTAAAGGAGGCTGCAGTATGAGTGTGGACCGTCCCTGCTTTGGTCATATGAGGAGAATAACATTTATCTTGTTCCTTTACCAAGTGGGGGAAGTCGGCCTTTCCACTTTACCTTGGTGACAGTCATCCAAAAGAGCAGGTAGGAAAGTGTCTAGGGCTCCATTGGTAGTCTCCCCATCCTGTGTGTGCTGTCCCTAGTCTGCAAGGCATCCTCCAGTGTGCCTGTGCTGGCTGCAGGAAGCCAGCCTGTTGTGGGAGGAGACCAGGCCTGACATCAGATCAGTTGCTTCCCTTTGTTTTTCTAGTGCCTTCCAGTTACCCTTGCAGATCTTTTCCTGTTTTGTTTATTTTTGTTTTTCTGTATGGCTAACATCATTGTCCTGATGTAACATTTTGTTCCTTCTGTGACTACAGAGCCCTGTCTCAGTTTTTTTTCCCCTAGAGAGCCTTTTTGACCCTCATGCCTCACCTTACTGTTTTTGCAGTTGAACACTGTATTTTCAGATTCTCTGTTAGCCCTGAGACTCCTAAATGAGCAGAAACCCAATTCCAAAACAGTCCTTCCCCTGAGTCTTGCTTGGAAGAGCCCAAGTCAGTGCTCACACTCTTCACAATGCTGAGACTCTTCTGACTGAGACTTTAGCCTCAAAATGCATACAGCTCTTATAAACTATTATTTGAGTAGTGAATTAATAATTTGCTGCAACAACAAGTCTCTGGTGTCAGCCAGAGCTTATTAAAAGTGAATTTTATTCAGCTAGTTCTATTGGGAAAAAGAGCAAGCTTTCTCTCACTTGGCAGAAGTGTGACCACTGACCTTTGGCGGGTGGGCTTGGGAGCAGGCAGAGGGGCACACGTTCACAATTGCCCATTTGCTGTGCACACTTGTGTTCCTTTGTGCTACTGGATTGGCATGGCAGCTTTCTCTGTCCACTGAAGCCTGTTACCTCATCTCTGATTGCTTCCCAGAGGTGAGGGAGCTCAAGTTCTGTTTCTGTGCACTGATGAATGTCACTGGAGAAGAATGGCTTTGTTTTTGTTTGTTTTTTTTTTTGCCAGTCCTGGGGCTTGAACTCAGGGTTTGGGCACTGTCCCTGAGCTTTGTTTGCTCAAGGCTAGTACTCTTAACACTTGAGCCACAGCGCCACTTCCGGCTTTTTCTGTGTATGTGGTACTGAGGAATCTAACCTAGGGCTTTGTGCATGCTAGGCAAACACTCATCACTAAGCCACTTCCAAGCCCAAGACTGGCTTTGTTTTGAACTGCCTCCTGCAGATGGACCTGTGTAAGCCCCTAGAGCATCTGAAAAGAAAGCGCAGGGAAAGGAGAGTGGCATTCACCATCCAGATCAGTGACTACCTATTTACTTCGTGGCACATCACTGCCCTCTTCTTTCCCCATGAAAACAAACAAACCCTTTAGTGACACAGGCCAACATCTCTCCAGCCCTGGGGTGGAGGCCCACCCCTGAGGGGTGGCCCCTAGGTCTCCAGGCTCACTTTCCTGGTTACCTGTGAAAGGAGAGGCTTTTCACAGACCTCTGCCCCAGGAAATACCCTGGGGTGTTTGCTACTCCTTCACTGTGTGGGAAATGGTCCTGTGGAGCTCACAGGTGAATAAAAGGAGAGTGAGTCAGAGAATTGAGAGAGGCTGGCAAGTTCACCAAGTAGAGAATGTTCCCTCCTAGGGGTCAGCCCTTTCTTGTCACCACTGGAGAGTAGCACTTGTGATTTAAAGGACCTGAAAGGAGTTGTTTTCATATCTAGGAATTGTCAGCTGATTACTCTTTTTTTTTTCTCCTCAGAATGAAATGGATGATGTGCCCTTCTTTGATATCCAACTGCCTTATGAATTGGCAATCAATATATTTCAGTATCTGGACAGGAAAGAGCTGGGAAGGTGTGCACAGGTAAGCTGTTATTACAGATTTTCCTAAGTGTGACTAAAGCATAGGAAGCTCCCAGGTAACATTCATTGTATAGAATTAGACTTTGCATAACCACTTCACAGAAAGAAAGAGGGAGGAAGCAGGAAGGGAGGGAAGGAGGACAGAAGGGAAGAAGGAAGGAAAGGAAGGAAGGGAGGGAAAAAAGGGAAGGAAGGTGGGTGGGTGGGCTGACCTTAAAGATTCTGCTCTACATCACCTCTTAGTCTTTGTCTGACTCAAGAGCTCACTCAGCTGGCCACCAGTGGCTCACGCCTGTAATCCTAGCTACTCAGGAGGCTTCGATCTGAGGATCATGGTTCAAAGCCAGCCGGGCAGGAAAGTTCATGGGACTCTTTATCTCCAGATAACCACCAGAAAACCAGAAGTGGTGCTCTGGCTCAAGTGGTAGAGTGCTCGCCTTGAGCTGAAGAGCTGAGGGACAGTGCCCAGGCCCAGAAAGAGTTCAAGCCCCATGACCGATTTAAAAAAAAAAAAAAAAGACGCTCTCTCCTCCTTGCAGCCTAAGTGATGGCTGACGGTCCTGGGCAGACAATGTGCTCACAGTCCTCAGTGCAAACATGGTTGTTAAGGTGGCAGCTGAGGCTCAGCCCAAGGGCAGCATGGCGAAGTCATGTTTTAGATAGGTAGTTCAGAATATCCCTTACACACCAGCATGCACACACTGAGGTGTGTGAGAACTGAGATCCACCAAGGGACTTGCAGAGCAGTGTCACGAGTCTCGTGTCACTGTCTCATATCACCATGTCATGCTGGCTCTGGGTGGGTGCCCATGGCTTGAGAGCTGGGAGAATGCATCTGGGCTCTACTTTTGTGTGCAGGCCTGGGGTTCCTGAGCCACATATGGAAGTCCAGGAGGGCTGCACAGGGCCACTAATCTCATTTCTGACTCTAGTGGCTTTGGCCACAATTAGGGAAGACAAGGATCTGTGCCATTTTTAAAAAATTAATTTTACTTTTCCAGTTGACAAAAATTACATCATTTTATTGTGTACAATGTGATGTTTTGAAGTATGTATACATTGTAGACTGGCTGTACGTATTATCTCAGATTTTCTTGTGTCAAGAACACTTAAATCTCTTCAAGTATATGGCTCATTATTATTCATCCCAGACACTGTGTTGTATGCTAGATCTCTGCACTTACTCCTCATTGCTGACATTTTGTATTCTTCATTAGTATCTTCCTGACTACCAGCACCGCCCAGCCAACCACCCTTCTCTCTCTGCCTCTGGTAGTTCAGCCTTTTAAGATTCCACACGTAAGAGAGATCATGTGGAAATTGTGTTTTTGTACTTATTTCACAGAATACAATGCCTCCTTGCCTCATTGTCACAAATAGCAGGATTTACTTCTTGATTCAGGCTTAATAGAATTCCATTATGTGCGTATACCAACAATCCAGTCTTCTGCTGGGTTATAAGGCAGTCTCTATTTTTCAGTGATAGTTTTATTTTTAATGTTACACGAACCCTTACAGCTTTCCATAATGACTTCACTAACAGGTATTGCTACCAACAGTGCTTGAGAGTTCCCTTTCTCCACATCCACTTTGTCACTCTCTCCTCTCTGATAGTAGCCATTCTAACAGGTGTGAGGTGGTACCTCATTGTGGTTCAACTTTGCATTTCTATGATGACTAGTGATGTTGAGTACTTTCTCATGTACCTGTTGCCCAGGTACATGTGGGCCTGGCTTCTTTTGAGATATTAAGTCTACTCAGGTCCTTTGCTCATTTTTTTACTCAGGTTATTCTCTTGCCGTTGAGTTGCTTGTGTATTCTGGATGTTACATCCTCATCAGATGTTTGGTTTGCAAATATTTTCTCCCATATTATATGTTGTCTCTTTAGTGTCTTGGCTATTTCCTTTGTTGTTTAGAAGTATCCTATTTGCTTGCTTGGGTAGCTCTCTATTATTTTAGCCCTGCTCTCTCTCTCTCTCTCTCTCTCTCTGTGTGTGTGTGTGTGTGTGTGTGTGTGTGTGTGTGTGTGTGTAGCTCAGGGCCTTTGCTCTCAGTCTTCTTGCTCATAGCTGGTGCTCTACTACTTGAGCCAGGCCTCCAGTCTGGCAGTTTTGGTGATTAATTGGAGGTAGTCTCTAAGACTGCTTCCATGATGGCTTTAAGCCATGATCATCCTCTGGGTCTCAGCATCCTGAATAGCTAGGATTACAGAATTACAGATGTGAGGCACCAGTGCCAGGTTTGTTTGTTTCTGTTGTTGTTGACTTTTCTTTTGTGGTAACAGTCAAAAAGTCATTGCCTAGACTAGTACATGGAATTATCTTCTATGTTCCCTTCTAGCAGCTTTACCCTTTTCACATCTTACTTTTAGTACCTCTGTCTAGTTTGAGCAGAGACTGTCTTTTCCCTTTGTATGTCCTTGGCCTTTTTGTTGAAAAGCAATTGTCTGTAATTGCATGGGTTTATTTCTGGATTCTATTCAGTTTCATTGGTTCTCTGTCTATATATTTTATGCCAGCACCATACTGATTTGATTACTGTAGCTTTGTAGGGTATTTTAAAATGAGGAAATATGAGGCTTCCAGTAGATTTTTTCTCCCTGAGACAGGGTGGCTGCTGTGTAGGCCAGACTGGCCTTCAGCTGATGGTCCCCTTACCTCAGTCTCAGATTCTTATGATTATGAAATTTCAGGTTTGTGCCATTTCACTTGACACCAGAATTGCTTTTATTTTTCAAGATTGCTTCGTCTAATTGTCCAAAAAGAGATGTACTTATTACCTGACTTATGTAATTGTAAGTTCTTTGTACATCACCTTTATAATAATCATACATTTTTTAAAAGATTGCTTTGACCTCATCTGTGGTGTGTGTGTGTGTGTGTGTGTGTGTGTGTGTGTGTGTGTGTGTGTGTGTGTGTGTGTGAAGTCTGAGGGAAGCTGGAGGAGGGCACAGAATCAGAGGGAAATGGGAGAAAATACAACAGAGGGGCCCATCAGCTGCACTGGACATTGATGAGAACAAACTAAGCAAGTCAAGGGCAGCGATGGGAAGGAGGTAATGAGAGGTAAAGAGGGAACAGCTAACACTAAGCAAAAGGAAAGAAATGTACATATCACTCAACCTGGAAGAAATAGTTGAATTGTCAAAGCTGATAGAATTCATGAACTTCATAGACCAAAATAATGACAATTTGCTTTGTGAAGGTTAAAATGTGTTTGTGACTTTAACTAAGTATCACTAGCCTACAATACTGTGAAATTTATGTAATCACCTAATCTCAATAAAAATTATATAAAAAAGATTGCGTTGTCTGTTCAGGTCTTTTGTGGTTGAGTACTTCTCCTGTCCCCTTCCTTCCCCTCCCCTTCCTTGCAGTGTTAGATATTGAACCCAGGCCTTTGCACACGCTAGGCAAATGCTGTACACTGAACCATACCTCCAGCCCTTTTTTTTCTCTTTCTGTGAAGAAAAAAAGTCTTGAGGATTTTGGTGAGGATTGTGTGGCATTTGTTGGATGTTTGGGATGGGGACCTTCTCCCAGAACAGCACTCGTTCAGGTCCTGTATATGGATCATCTTCCCATGAATCTATGTCTGCCTCGGTTTCATTACCAGGGTCTTTGGCAGTTAGCCTGTTGACCTATAACCTCCTTGGTAGAACTGATTCCTATTTTACTTTTTTGTAGCTATCAAGAATGGGAATTTTTCTTTCTTTGGATAGTTCATTGCAAAGTCAGTAGTTTTTGTATGTTGATGTTTTTGTATCCTCTACCTTTATTGAATTTGTTTATTCTAACAGCTTTTAGAGTCTTCAGGCTTTCCTTTTATGTCATTTGCAGACAGGGACAATATAATGCCTTTTGGTTTGGATATCTTTTTTTTTTTTTTGGGGTCCGGTCATGGGGCCTGAACTCTGGGCCTGGGCGCTGTCCCTCAGCTCTTCAGCTCAAGGCTAGCATTCTACCACTTGAGCCACAGCGCCACTTCCAGCTTTTTTCTTATGTGGTGCTGAGGAATCGAACCCAGGGCCTCGAGCATGCAAGGCAAGTGCTCTACCACTGAGCCACCTTCCCAGCCCCTGGATATCTTTTCTTTTTGAGACATGATCTCATTATGTAGACCAGGTTGGCCTTGGACTTGAGATTCTCCTGCCTCCTCAACTCGAAGGTATAGAGATTTCAGATGTGTGCCACTATACCACCACCAGCACCTTCTCCTCCTCCTCCTCCTCCTTCTCCTTCCTCCCTCCTGTCCTCTTCCTCTCCCTCCTCCCTCTTCCTCTTCCCTTTTTCCTTCCTTCCTTCCTTCCTTCCTTTCTTCTTTCTTTCTTTCTTTCTTTCTTCTTTTGCCAAGTTACTCAGTCAAGGACTTCCCATATTAGGTTGAATAAATGGTGAGTATGAACATCCTTGTTCCTAATCTTAGAGGAAAAGCCTTCCACTGTTTGCCATTGCCCATGATGTTAGTTGTGGGTGTGTCACATAGGACCTTGATTGTCTTGAGGTGCATATTTTTATACCCAATTAAGAGTTTTTATCATAAAAGCTGTTAGGTTTTGTCAAGTGCTTTTTTCTGTATTGAGATGAGCAGATGCTGTGTGTCTTCTATTCTGTCAATGTGTGTCGATGTAGAGAGCTGCATTGACTTTTCACAAGCATGCATACTTACTGATCATTTGACTTTTGATAGACAGATGTGTTTGCAAGAAACCACTGGAATTTCCATTCTTCATAATGGCCCCAAATCAGTTTGTTGACTGTTTAGCATTTGAACCCCAGGATTCTTTATAAATATGCTTTATACAGGTTTGCACATTTATACAGGTTTGCACATTTTCCAGAGAAAAGGTCTAGTAAAATTAAGTGGTAAGAGAACTACACATCCTAAGAATGTGAAGTTCAAAATATTTTCTTTCAGGTCTGAGACCAGGACTCAACATCAGTACCTGCTGCATTCGCTCATTGGTTAGCAGTCTACCAACTGAGCCATGCCTCCAAAT